GATACGTCGCCATTAAGCCCTTACTCACTTTTCTCAGTGTCAGTTTTTCGCAATCATCAAGTTCGGGAACTTTGTTTTTATTCCAAATAAGTGTTTTTTGATGATTTGCAAGTTTTCCCGTTCAAAATGTTATCTAGCACTGTTTTTCTCTTAGTGTGGAACCGGCTGTGACGTTAATTTGTAAAATATCGCCTAGTTAAAGAAATCAGGACAAGTTCCGCCTATCATTCTATTTGGCTTTTTCCTCTTTATTTCCAAGCAGACGGACATGTAAGTGTTGTTCAATCGATTTTGTCGTCGTCCAATATACAGGTGGTCAGATTCGTTCTATTAGCAGCTTGACTATTTGTCGTTTCTTTCCTCGTTGTGATGCTGATCAGTCGATGAAGTCGTTTTCCTTCTAAGCCGAAGGTGGAAGTGCTAAGTTGTTGTCTGGTCTTCACCACTAACATTCATCATCATTTTTGAACCAAGCTGACTTATTCTTCTGATTATGATAGCAGCCATTTTGTTCGAATAGTTGACCGAGCAATGGAGGACGACGTAACAGATCGAATCCGGTTCTGACCGCATACTATTTATCGTTTTTTCATGCAACTTGCTTTTATGTTAAACAAAAGGTCACCCTCCTAAACGATGAATAAATACGGTAAAATGAAACGACTTTCTCAGAATTGGAACGAAACGGTTATTCATTTGCTAATTAATGGAACGCGATTTCAAGTTTCCTAGTAGGGCTCGACTTCATATATTGTGCGAGTTCCTCTTCCCAGCACTCCTTTCATTCTGCCCACCATTGTGTGAGTACGACTGTCATTTGATGATTTCGATTTTTTCTCGAATGTCGCTGAACTCTGGTCAAGAGCCTGATTCTCTTTGAAACTCTGAGACCGCTCTACTAGAACGTCTCCAAACCTTCACGATATAGACAGGCTTCGACCTTTGTGTATCAGAGGGAGCTTGTTCCAGACAAATTTGGCACCCATTTGCGATTCTTAGGGATGGGAGAATTGGCTCGTCTATGGCAGGAAACTAGGACCATGCATGTGTTATAGAGAAGGGATACCGGATTCTTTAGAACAGTGAAACATCAGGCTTTTCTTCGTTGGTCTACTATAAATGAGGCTGGAGAAGGATTAATTCTTGTCGTCTACACCCGTTGGCAGTGTGCTAAATCGGCTGTTTTCGTCTTTTACTGTAGGACACCGTGGGAATGGAGACTTGCACCCTACTACCTGAGCGCTGCAGTGCTCTCTGTCACACCGGACCACATTTGCGTTCGCATTTACAGAAGACATCAACTAGAGAAACAGCTTTCTAGAATGCTCGAGGATTCTGATCAAGTTAAATTAAGTCGCAACTAGATATTAAAATCTCCGCAGTTCGTGTCATTTTGTCCCACTTTAGGTAGTTTACACCAGTCTTCCCTAGATTGGCTCCGATTTCAGCAGTCGTGTTTTTCTGAACCTTAACAACAAAAGGTCGTTTGTAAACAGTAATACTAGTTATTTCTAAGTGAACAGTAGTTAAGCTGTTCGGATCTTCGGAGATGAATTGTCCATCTATAATTTCCTCCTTCACTCTGCTGTTCATCGCCGTAATCGATCGCAGCCGTTTCGCTTTAACAGATGTTATCGAACTGTACGAATTCGTATTGACGTCTGCTTTCGCGCTTCCTGTGATCATTGAACAATCATTACTTGGCCTTCAACACCCTGCCTTAACGGTGTAAAATTGACATTTCCTCAGTCACATCACGAGCGAAACTCCTCTGAAGAACCATATTGTCAACGTTTTAACGTATTCGGTGTGGTAATGTGATTCGATTTCTTGAGACATTATCAGTTGGAATTGAGAAAAAAATTTTTTAAAGTGGTTTTATTACTTTTCTATTCCATGAAGAAACACTGTTTGAGATCTCCGACAAATTAAAGAGTGAATGTGCTTGCTGATTCAATGCACATTCCTAAGAATTTCCCGTTCCACTCGGCTTTTATAAAATCAGACGTCTACGCAGGACGATTATATAACCTCCGAGCTACCTATCTATGGAAGAGACTGGGAATAGATTGACTGTCGGTGATACTGTGAAGGCTTGATCGCAAATGAATGCGAAGAGTGTTTTCGGGCAATTATCGTTAAGAAGCGAAAGTTCCTAACACAACGAAGACGGATTTGTTATGGGCGATTGAAAAGAGAAGTGGGTTGTCGACGTAACTGCAACATTGCCGATTATCCAGTCCTTTAGTGGAGGTGTCGGGAGGTTCTGCTACAGAGGTACATAGTTGCGAGACCATCAGCTGTTGTGTACGATCACGGGGAAAGAGCAGAGTACTTCTCATCGAACACCGTAATCTATTGATCAATACGGATCGAGTTTTTATTTCACGAGATTGCCACACGGGAGAAGGAACTATATATCACTTTTTGGCGTCCAGTACTACTGTTTAGTCGTAAATGCACCTGATGCCTACCGTCACTAAATCCCAATAGTCTTCGCTATCGTGTGCGTTCTTACTCAGTCGGTCTCTCCTGTTACAACTCAAGCTTTCGTTTTTGTATACTGAGTGTGGACGCTTTTATTTGTACACTTTTTGTTCATTTAATGTTCTATCTGTGTCTTTAACCAGCTGGCACAGAATTTCCATCGTCACTGAATCCCAGAAGTGCTTAGTGTCTCCCTTCAGCTTAATGCTTAACCTTCTGATTCAAATGAGCTACATTTTCCATTTGTCTGGTAGATTTCGCCTTGTTTTTTTTACAGTTTGACGCTCATAGTCAGTTGTTTTCTGAGAAGTACCGACAATTATTATCGCTTCTAACTTCTGGAGTTTTGAAAACGGAAGTTCTCTGCTTTTATATATGGACCATATACTTGCTATACTTATTTCAATTTTTTCTTTTATTCCACTTTTTATCCAATTTATACTGTCACAAAAGAAAATCAGGCTCGATACTTTCGTTAGTCGAGTTCAAATTTGAAAGTATTTGAAAGTAAAAGGATAAAGGATAAAGCTCTCAGCGTTGATCAATCCCTAAGGGACGCCACCATGCAGTTGACTTCACTAAGCATCGTTGGAGGTAATTGAATGCACATCTGGCCTTTACAATGACTCGCGGCCGGCTACCGATGTACCGAGCCAATGCTACTTTCCTCCCAGACAAGTCTGGCACCGATTTGCCGACCCCGGAGGGATGGAAGGCTTGGTGGGCCGTGAGCGAGGGGATCGATTCCATGTGTTTCAGGGCGCCTCCGACCACTGTGCTGCACGCGTCCTTAACTTGAAAGTGATACAATGGAAATTGTTGTGGAAGAAGTATCTCCATTACGGAGCTCCATTTCACCTGCCACAATACGGATTTCTCGCTAACCAATTGTCAATTTTTCATTCCTGTCTGAAATCTCCCGAGCTGAGAAATAAGTTTGCCACGATGGATTAGAAAGATTTGAAATTTAAAAATATGTGAATTCTAACTTTCTTTATCGCACTTAGTAAAGCTTATTATGAGCAGTGGCCGCATGTGCAGCGCAGTAGTTAGTAGTGCACTGCAATACACGTTTGGATCTGTCCCTAGTTCGATCTTGCGTTATAGCTCCACCAATGCTATCATCCCATTTTTCACTATGAGTAGACACAAAGACGTAGATTAAGCTGTTGACACCTTAGTTAATCTATTAGTCATGCGTCATGTACATCGAGAACTATAGAGGCTACTGAACGAGTAACTAGACCAATGCATCGGCTTTCAGGAGTCTGCCGATGTATGAAATCAATGATTACTATCCTTCAGAGAAGTTTGGTAGCATTTTTGATTCACGTTGCATAGAGCGCGAGGTCGAACCAACGACCGCGCGTGTGTTGAAGTTTATCTCTTCTTACTATGCCTTACATGCCCTTATGAGCAAAGATGTGTGCATTTGTTAAAATTAAATAGGATATTAAATTTCCTAGAACTATGGACAAGCAAGTATCTATTTATTTGTGAATTCATTTATACTATCCATATTTCACATCTACTGTGCGGATCATAGCACTTGCATTCGATTGGTTTCCTCGAATTAAATATCCACGAAGATTAGCATTATACTTGAGGATTTTTCTTCCGTCATGAAGATCGTTGAATGCTGGTCGAGTTGATTCTCCCTGGAGCCCCGAGATAGGCGAGATGGAGCGTTCCCGATTGGATTGCAGAATTGTGAAGAGTGGAACTTTCCCCCGAGAAATCCAGTACTGGTTTCCATCCTCCAAATAAATGGGAACCTTGGAGAGCTCGGAGAAGGCTCCAACCAGCACGGCGCTGGTGATGCTCTGCATCGCCACCACTCTACCCGCCCCATAATAGGCCAATAAGTAAGTACAATATCGCTGCAATTTCTTGTCGTCTTATACTGGCTGGGTGTGTTCCTGAATGTAAATCATCATGTATAAGTGGTATGCACCTTCCTACATGGTTGCGGGTCCTGGGAGAGCTCGACACAATCTTGAAACTAGCTGAAAGTCAACAGATGCCCCAGTAATCATTACGTCGTGAGTTGCCAATGCCCCCACCAATTCACAAAGTCGGTGACTGTTTGTGATCGTCTTGCAAGGCTCTGACACACGGTTCTGTACCTTCAGGAAGATTGTCGTCAAATCAGCATCATTACGGTTAAATAGGAAATATTCTGGGGTCCGTTCAACTGTTCCTAAAGAGCAGCCTACTGAGAATCAGGTGTTCAAGTATTTAAAAAGTGCCTTTTGCTTTATGGACAATCCTTATCCAATAAGTGAATATCTGGGAAGAGCGACATCTTCGCTATTTCTATGGACCCTAAGTCATTAATACCTTTCGGATTCCTCTTCAACGTTCCACTTCATCTCCTATCTCAAATTCTTGTGTTTTGAATTGATTTTTTCTGAGTGTTCGATCTCTATACCAAAAAGAGCACAATTATCGGTATCTATTTCAGTTAGTCATACAAGAGAGCATCGATTAGCTACGAACGCCTATATCCTGGAATGGACCGACGTCCACAGCGTTCGATCGAGCAGATCGAGGTGATTGAACATCGAATAGTCGAGGAGGGTCGACGACCTGTCGGAACTGGAGGTTAACGCCATTCGTCATTCCCATTCTTCTGGATTATTTAGAAGTTTACATCCAAGTGCTTAAAACGAATATTATAATACTTCACGGTTGCTTTCAGTTTGTACGAGTTCGTTTAGTCACCTGTGAAAACTGGGGAAATGGAAATATACCTGGCTTTCATAAAAAGGACTCTTTTAGAGTTTATTAAAGACCTTATCATGATAGCCCTATCAGCTATGTTATTTAAGTACCTTGATGCTGATGAAGAGTAAAAAACAGACAACAGTTGTTATTACCGTAACTCATTGCAGTTGCAGGGGCGCTGCCACCATACAGCGCCGTTCGTCGACCATTGGATGCTCATGAGCAGAGGGATATCTCGTTAGATCGAAGGTATGGCCAATGTTTTTATGAAAAATATGCCATCTCGTTGGATTTCCATAATTGATATGGTAATTGACATTACGTGTAAACGTATGGGTATCGTCAAATTCACTAATTTTCCACCAGGCGAAAATCTTTTCAGATACGACGTCACCGGTGAACGGGATGTGAGTCGAGACGCCTCATTCATACATACCTCAGCAAGTACGACGAAAATACTATCGTATACCGAAAAATTGTTCGAGAAAACCAGAAAGTAGTCGCAGTCGTTAAAATAAACTTATTCGATGGATGTGGCTTTTGAAAAGAAAGACCCAAGAGAAGATCGAGAAAGAAAATATACGAGAAACAAAACAATATTGAAAACTTTTGCTGGCCTTTTTAAGTGAGTTACTTTTCTAGATTCACCTGTATCGCCTGTAGTCCCGTTGATCGTCGAGTGACTTGAGCTGGTGCCAGTAAATATTCCATTTTTCCCTGTCGCGTTCAAGAGTAGCTCAATGGATTCTACTCGCTCTCTCTCTTTCTCTAGAGGGATTTTGAGCATCGTACCTTTCTCCTAGGCACTTCGTGAAGAACGATCGGGTGGGTGGTCCTCTTGTAGTGCGTTGGATATCCCGTGAAATCCGGTCATTAACGGCTGTTGTCCATCGGTTGCAATTCATAACCATTACATATCGACCCAAATTATCTTCAACAGCCTGGCGTATAGAACGGTATCTTTGATTTTTGATCGTTGACACAGGTCTGAGCTTCGGATCATGACGTGGGATAATCCTATCATCATCGTTTGGACTGCGTGTTCAATAGCGCTGAGTGGCCTGTCGTCCTGCTTACGCAGCGCCCAGGGTTCTGACACATTCGTTAAGGCAGGAAGAATCGTGGAGTCGAAAAGGTGGGCACGGAGTCGGGTGTTCTTTGTTCTCTTCAGTACATCTTCGATGCAACTGAAGCCTTCTCAAGCCATTCGATTGCTTCTGCTGAACCCTGAAGCTGAGTCCTTTATTGGAGCATTCGAAGACAATCATTCTGTTGAGCACAAATGAGGAATACGAAACCAATCTGCTTATTATGAACATCATTTCTGCGAGATTTAGTAGAAAACCAATTTTTCCACAACCTTTATCAACATTGGGTAGCATTCGTTTCACTTGGCTAATGTTTGGTTTTACATGAACGATGTGACCAGCAAAGCGTAGATGGTGTAGTTGGCGACCGTGGATTTTCACTCCCATATTGTCCCATTCCAGTGTTCACATGGCGTTTGCGAGAGTGGTGGTAAATAATTTTGACGAGATGGGCCTTTCCTAACCCCTCTTTTAACGTCGACACTAACATCCTTTTAGAATGGTGATATCTCGGCTGTGAAATTTTTATACAGCTCACGAAGAATATTTATGTACAGGTTAGGGGTTTCCTGACTATCCAAGGCTTCCATGATTGCTTCTATTTCAACTAAGTGAAAAGCTTTCTTTAAACCGATAAACGTGAGACAGAGCTTCTTGTACTCTGGCGATACTTCGATGAGTCTTGTCATCGTATGGAAGTGGTCTATCCTACCGAATCTTTTTCGAAACAATGCCTGCTCAGAGCTTACATTCAGACAGGTAACAAGTGAGGAGCCGAGCCAATGTGTTTAAAAGGACTTGTGGAAGGTTCTTCAGGTGTTCAGATCTTACTATGTCCGTAATCGGTCCTATATGACTTCTGACTGGCGAAATACCATGTCGGATTTCGTAAGGGGGAACCGGTTACAACATATTCATCTTTCTTTGTTTCATGTGAAGGCAGGAGGACGTGGATATTGAAGAGATCTGAATGGTAGTTGTGAATGGTTTTTTTCGAGACTATTTGAACAATTTTAGATTACGGACAGCAAATAGAAGCATCACCAAGTCGCTGTCATCTTTTCGCCTCCGGACAAACACTGAACTCGTCCGGTAGCCGTTTGAACACCTCCGGACAGCGAGTTGAGTTCGCCGACATTTCCGAAAGCACACCTATCAATAACTATGGATATGATATACATGAAATACATACATCCGGTGGGTGACTGAGCTCTAAGCTATAACGTCATTATAAAGAACTAAGAAGACTACTGTAACACGTGTTTTTCTGAAGGAAAGAAAAATCTAGACATAACCAACTTTACCTGAGATCCATTAGTTATGTAAGTGTAGCTCTCAGGACTTAGTAATACACAAAACAAGTTTGATGAATGGCCAAAAATTGAGCGGGGTATTTTAACATTGACGAATTCAGAAGAATAGCTTTCAAATCTTTTTACGATTTCTCATAGATATTGAGTGTGGTTTTCAGTAAAGAAATTATTTTACCACCTAATTTCATGCGCTGTAATGAAATGGAGCTATTTTAGAAGGCGGCGCTCGAGTAGTGGAGACACATGGGAGCGGTCCGCTTCTGGAGACGTCCCGACTGGAGAGCACGCGGATTGAGGAAATCATTGAAAGGCCGGCGACTCGAGCAAATGGCTACAGAACAGATACGGGTTATGTTGGAGCGACCCGGTGAGAGTTTTTAGTTACAACTGTGTTTCTAGTAGCATCTGCTGTTTAGTGGGTACAGGTGCTCTACAATACCCACACGATTGCTGACTTGATCCCGCGTCACAGCCACAACCAAATCCTGTATCCCTCTGGGTTAGTGAATTGGTGCCTGGTTTCCCTGAGAAATTGAGCTCGCTGATTTAGTACATAGGTAAGGCTACCGAAAGTCGTTTTATAGGTCAATTATTGATTCAATAATGCTTACGCTGCAAACGGAGAACAGAGCATTGCTCATCACCTAGAAATTGGTCAACGTCAAATCCTTTTTTCTTCATCCCATCACTTGAATTCCGCAAGTGGAGTTGATTAATTTGTTGGTGGCAAGAATCGGTCCATTAGTATAGAGCAATTAACATTTTTTGTGCAATTTCAAGGAGCAATTAAAACAATGTTTAGAAAGTTGAGCTGTTTTGCTTTATTTTCACACCCTTTTCACAGCCTATCCATGCAAGGGTTTTTTATTCTTTAAAGTCCTACATCGTGGCAAATCTCCCTCTGATCCACAAGGGCCTGTCATGGTGAGGACGTGGGACAGAGTTTGGTCAGGCCAACCTCGGGATTCCAAGGAACCATAATGGCTTAACCAGCACATCTCCGAAAAATGGGAAATATGTTGGGTCCCGCACAACCAGTGAGGACGGGCCCATTTAAGTATCAAATAAGTAAGTAAAGTCCTATGTCTGAGAGAAAGCAATCCTAAAAGTCACTTTTGTTTTTTATTATCATTTTTTATCGCTTTTTCACTTTTATGCTTTTCGCTTTACGTCCCAAAAGAGTAAGAATGAAGATTTTTCCAGTATTACGCCCGAAGCTTTGCGGGTCTCATCGCAAAGTCAGGTGTTCACAGTACCATCACCACCTATGGTGAGAACGGATTCATGGCGACAAATTCAAAGTGATCAGGAGTAAGTTTGAAGAAACTCTCGATTTTAGTTACCCATTTTTTTCGCCAGTTTTAACTTTTTCCCTCTGGCCAACCAAGTCTCTATCCTTGCCGGTTCGACAAAGTGGTACTGGAATTACGTGCGAAGAACTCCCTGTGGCCCAAAAAACTGCTTCTGTGACGAAAAACTAGGAAGCTTTCAGGAGGGCTTTTCCCAGGGTTGCAGAGATAATCAGCTAGACCGGCACTCAGTAACATTCATGAGGAAGAGAAAGTTATTAAGTGATAACTGAGCCCAATTAAGTGAGCACAAACCTGATGACCTTTGTGGATGAAGGTTGCCACACCACGAACCGAACGAAGTTTGGCATCCGTACAGTTTGTAGAGTTGGATCATGTAGGACATTTAATGCCTAATGGTGAAAAAAACGAAGTAATGGTATAATTTTCACACTACGTCCAAGTGATGTGACCTTTCCTGAAAAAATCTTTCTGCCATCATCTTTACACCACGTTTTCTGAAACAAGTTCTGAGTTGTTTTATCCTAAACAGTACGCTTTTATCTATGTTTAAACGTGGTATACTCGCAAAGAAGTCTATAGTAAATGAGGAAGAGGACCTCTCAGGAGTTTGATTGACGCGAATGTAAGGGTTAGTGAAAGAAATTCCAGTTCTCTGGAAGAGTTGTGGATGATACGTAAACGACAGCACAGCGTCGTGATGACGGGAAGTGGAGCGTTGCTAGACAAACACCCAACAGACATTCACGTCTGAAATCTGCACTCCAAACCTTTTCCCCATCAGCGGACCGCTTTCATTTCATGATGTCCACACCAGGAACGAGGTAAATTTCAAGAGGTTTCAACAACTAGAATTGAAATGACCTCCAGGCACTTCCATTCCCTTGGGAGTTCTGATAGTGAAATTGCACATTGCTGGAAACTGCTACACAGTATTCGATCCTCTTTGTTCCTTTTATTCAATTTATGCAAATCAATTACGTTCATGCCGAAACTGGAGAGATGCCGTCTGCTGAGACTTGGTCGAGAACGGTTGCGATATGTCTTAGTCCACCTAGGCTTTTCTTTTCTGAAGGTGGCGAAGTATTTAATTCACTAATAAGCAATCCATAAACAGTGTAGGACTAAAAATAGAGGAACAAAAGATGTCTTTTCCAGCGCTTTCGTGCGAAAAGACAGCTATAGGAAAATGCAACAATCAGATGATTTGATCGGCTCGACGGAGAACTCGAAATCGTACGCGGTGAGTTTCTTACGCTTCGAGCAATTTTTCAGTTGGAATCTATGGACAGCTCGCCTTCCTCTTGTTTTCATCGTGAATCTTTCAAAGCAAAATCATACAAGAATCAATAGGTTAAGAATCACTGTTATGAAGATACTCTCTGGTTAAACACCAGCATATCTGCTTATTGTGTTTTTCCCTTATTTCAATTCAAGAACTGTAGGCAAAAAGAAAAAAACCGCTGCTCAACAGTGGTATTCATTTTATCCATCTAAGTGTCTTTTTACTTTTCACCTCTAATATAAATTAATGACATGTGAAATGAAACGGTTAGAGGCGCCTTTCAATAAATATTCGTTGGTTCGATTATGGCTCCGGTCAAGTCTGAGCCACCAACATTTGCAAGTCTTCAAATAGGTACTACATTTCTTTGGGAGGATAAGAACAATGCATCGGCAAACCTGAGTAGGTCACATTTCAAGAGTTAGAGATACAATCAGTCACCTATGTGGTGCCTAATGGAGTAATCGAGCAGGAGGCGATGCCTTAGGGACTGATCAGCACCAAACGCTTTATCCTTTTTCCAATTGAAGAGCGCGCTGGAAGACCTAAAAATGTTACAGCCTCACTCGCAAACCTCTTTGGTAACTCGCAGCTCGGAGCGCCGCTCAGAGGACCAGAGCTGGTGGCGAAGAACCCGTGACTACCTTAGCCAACTCTACCGCAACACCAGGTTCACGTCTGGTTTTTTTAATAGTTTTTTGATGACATAGTGATTGATTTATTGGCATCCGCCAACATCCCTGTAAAAACTGTTTCGGTTAGGCAAAACATTATAAATTGTAACTTATATAATGCAGAGATGTTTGCAAAACTCTGGACCGCAGGTGTCTCCGGTGAGGAACGAACGCGCTATTGTCCTTTCCGGGAGTAACGCGTTCACCACCACACCATGCGGGTCCTTCGTTTCGCCTGTCTCTCAGCTAGTTCTATCGATCTTTTTTAATAGCTTAATAACGATAATTGGCAACTTTTAATAATTTTTTAAATTTAATCAATAATTTAATAACTATAGCCTCAGCTTAACTGGGTTCAATGCCGATTTGGGCTCCCCAGATCAATCCCGTTGACGGGAGACAGGCGAAACGAAGGACTCGCACGGTGTGGTGGTGAGCACATTATTCCCCGGAAAGGACAACAGCGCGTTCGTTCCCACCGGAGACACCTGCGGTCTGGAGTTTTGCAAATATGCATTATAGAAGTTATATTTCGCAACATCGCCTGCCGTTAAAAAGAATGGGCATTAAATAAAAAAGGTGAAGATTATGAATTGTATTTACGGAGAGAAAAATTTGCTGAGAAAGCAGAACGAAGGCTTGAGTGGTGAAGTGGGTAACACGTGAGCCCACGTAAAGGGTAATCGCGAGCCCCAATCCGATTTGGGGTCGGGGTTCTGCAAATATCTCAATATCAGTATGGTAGTATTAGTACGATTAGTAAAATTCGTGAAGACTTTTATGAATACTACAATGGTAGAGGAAAAGAAAGTTATTATGCTGAGTAAATGTGTGGTGACCACATCAGTATAACGTTTCAAAGGATTTTTTGATGAAAACGATTCTGGTGAAGTCCACAACCTTTGTCCACACGCAAGAGAATATTGATTAAACGATTCTTGAGTGGAAAAATCTCCAAGGAATTGGAGAGCGGATCACTTGTTTGTGCATTTCAATTCCGTTACTTCACGGTGTCGTGTTCAGAGAACGCGATGCCAGTCCTCGACTTCTGGCCAGTCTATGCTGCATTCTGTTTTTGTTGCTTCTCCTTCTCATCCTCATAGGAATCATCTTAAACGCTATATTCAACACATACTCGGTACATTAATGTCTTGATATGTTCGCTTCCATATTCTATCCATAAAATCGGAATTTGAAGGTGAGCGAGTTCCTACTTTACCCACCGGTGTGCGAAGAGTGCCGTAGGAAGAATCCGAACGTCCTCACTGTCGCCTTGCCGTCGTCACTATTCATCCACATCTATTCCTCCAGTCAAGCACATTTCGAACTGCGTGGAAATTTGCCTTTCAAGAGCAACTCCTTCACTGCCATAGATTTTGAAACGGTTAGTAGTAGAACCTCATCTTTTACATATTTTATTGGAATCTCTTTATTTTTGTGCAGTAAACACTTGGTTAGAACGTTGCTTTAATAACTCTTTGTGAATGTTTTAAAGCACAGCTCTAACCAAAAAGTTAACGCAGGTGACATCGTTGAAATCGTACCTCAAGTTGGATCACGTTGTACGGTTCTGTCTTCAATTATTTGTTTATGACTCATTTTATTGTCAAACTCCCAGAATTTTCACTCATGAGAAAACTAAGATATCCCGAAAATGGGTCAAACCTTGAGGTGGGCGCATTTTTTATGGGGCATCCGAACATCAAATTTTCAACACTTAAGTGAACAGGCCCAGTTTTTGCTGGTGCCCCCAAGAAGTACTCCAGTTTTTCGTCGTGTGCTGTAGTATGGAAATCACGCGGTCCATTTCCTTCCCCAAAAGAGGGTCTTGTTCAATCAGTGCACACGAATAAATTAACGTTGGACCCTATATTTGCACTTATATATAAGACTATTCACCATCAATGGTCTGTACTGGGCCCAAAAAACTTATCGGAATAGCAGTTTTTATGCGGATTATTAATTGTTGAAATACTCTTATCGGGCATGGTCCAACTTTTGCGGTGAGGAAGTTACACAGGAATCAGGCACAGGAACTATAAGAAGAACGCTCTACGCTGGAAAATAAACAGATTCATTATTTGTGATTCCTACAATGGTGATTGTGACAAATCTAGTTGTATCACCTGCCTTCCTGTTGATCGTTAAATAACCCAAGCGCGCGCCAGTAAGTCTTCCATTTTTCCCTGTCGCATGCAAGAGTGCCCCAATGGGTTCTGCTCGTTCAAAGGACTCGTTTAGCACCATATCTTTTTTCTACGGTTTTCTTCAAAAACTCTCATTATCAGGTCAGGGGTCTTTCTGTAGTATGTTCGATATCCCGAGAAATCCAGTCACTAACGGCTCTTGTCCATCGGTTATGTTTCATACGCATTGCGTGGCCGGACTACCTTATCTTCGACTGTTTGGCGTACAGAACGGCATCTTTGATTTTTAATTGTTGATGTTGGTCGTAGATTCGGTTTCCCTCCTTCATTTACGTGATACGGGAGCCTCCTAGCATCGACTTTTCGACTGCTTCTTCCATAACGTTGAGTGATCTTTCATCGTGCTTACACCGTGACCAGGTTTCTGACGCATATGTTTAGGCATGAACAATCGAGAAATCGAGAAGGTAGGCATGGAGTTACATTGTTCTTTATGCTCTTCACAACATCCTCGATGCTCTTGAAAGCTGCTTAAGCCTCAACAACGAAGATTGTCAAAGCCGGTATGGATCTACATCTCATCAATCGCAAACGTCCGATTCGGATTGTTAGTTGATCGAATTGATTGATGTTTATGGACAAACTCATGTTGAAGAGAACACCGACGCCACCTATACCTCTACTTTCGCTTTTTCCGAGGAACAGTTCTTTTCCGGTGTCATAGACGACGTTAAATGGCTGGCGTCGTGTCGTCTCGGCCAGTCCGATGATGTCGTGTCTTATTCTTCTTGCCTGGATGATCAAGTCTTCTATCGAGGACTCAGGTGCAAGTGTGCGTGTATTGTAGGTACAGCTCGTCACCGCAGTCCTTTGCGATTTCGGCAGCCCAGAATGGTTCTGAAATTTTAGCAGCCTCTCCGTACAAGTCCTGTCCAACGCTGCCCAAATGGGGGACTTTTTCGGGGTCAGGGGAATGAGGCCCGTCTATTTTACTGTGCTTAGCGTTTGATATCCACATACAGCTTGCAACGTGGAGGCTGGGTATACTCACGGATAGCTTTCTAGTCGCTCCCGGAGTATACGGGGACTCGTTTGTAGAGGCGACTCCTAACTACGTCCCATACTCGCTTGATTGCTGGGTTTTGGCCGCATTGACTCGTAGAATACAGTTAGTGTAAACAACGAGAACACACCCACTCATACATACATGAGTACGTGCTCGTAAACACAGAAGGTTTGTGCCACATCCGCGCAGTAGAAACACGGAATCCATCCCCTGGAGCGGCCTGCGTCTCAGAGAAGCAAAAGTCCACTTTTGCTCCTGATTCAGTTTCCTATCCGCCACATGGGAGCGCGCCACATTGCCTCGCTAGTAACTGCCGTGAGTTCCCTCTATGATGAAGAAGATCCTAGGTAATCTGACTGTACAGTGTGTTATTGTTGGGTCGTGTATTGATTTGAAATTTACTGAGCTCGTGTACACTCGAAAATCCCCAGTTCTTAATGCCATGCTAAGTTTCAATGAAAATGAATTCATGAATGGTTCATTCATGTTGACCTAAATAACTTATAAACGACGAAGTTTCTTTCCACTTCTGCACAGCAAGCACGAGGTGCTACTTTATTCTTTCTTCAAGAACAAGCTGACGTTCCGGCGGATTTCGCCTTCCTCAAAGCCTGGAAAGGTCAAGTTGATAGCAATCTACCCGGCCAAACACCTCCATAATCAGAGAAAACGTCAAACCAAGATTTCAATCACATTGGACACAGCTCTGCACACTCACCGCTTTCTATGAGTCTTGAGTATGTCGTGTGAATACTAACCGCACAGAATTCGCATGAAAGCGTAATATGTCCCTCTCATCAGAATAACAGGCTTATATACTGTTCAATATCACGCGTGATAACGAGGCATTCCTCCTTGCGGTTCATTTTCGGATTCTTGGAATTTATCCAGAATGCCTCTAGAGTTTTGCGCGCTTGTGTTCTCGATTCTTGCGCGAGGATCGTAACCCTTACTTCAAAATCTTCTCCGTTATGTTTCTGCGTGCTATGCGTACCTAGTGGAGTACTTGGCTTACGTTTGCCGACTAGGTGTTCTTTTATACGTACGCAGAGTGGTCTACCCGTTTCGCCAACGTATTCGTCCCCGCGCGCTTTACAAGAGATCAGATAGACTGTGCCCGAACTCATGCAGTCACCGTCTCTACCATTGGCGCAAATTATGCAATTTTGCACATAAACGGTCGTATAGGCGGTTACGAACTAGCTGGCGTCTTAGATTACTCGGTGGTATTTCGATTATCGAACGAAGTTTCTGTTTACAATATTGTGCTAGTTGTTTAACCTGTGATGGAAGCGTGGCGTTTAGCGGGCACACGCCATTGGGCGACCCCTAATTTTCAGCCTTTACGAAGCTGTTGGTTTTCTGACAGTACTAGCAATAATCAACTTTTCAATATGTAGAGGACTTGCGGAGTTGTGAAAATGACACAATTGCATAAAAGCCTTTATCGTTCAATGACTACAGATAGTATCTACACTGCTATTTACTACACACTACTATGATCCATTATGCAAACGCATTGCTGTCATAATTGGGGGAGGTTTTTCAACCTATAGTGTGCTTATTTTGGTACCTTATATTCACGCACATTCCATATAATTTTTTCCAAGGGCGCGTGGGGCGCAGTGATGGGAGGTGCACTGCAACACACACATGGAATCGATCCCTGCGCCCGTGGCCCACCAAGCCTTTCATACCTCCGGGGTCGGCGAATTGGTACCAAATTTATCTGGGAGGAAAGCAGCACAGGTTCAATACATCGGTAGGTCACCGCGACTCATTGTAAAGGCCAAATATGCAATCAATCACCTCCAAACGGTGTTTTATGAAGACGAATGCATGTCTCCCTCATGGATTGATCGACGCCGAGAGCTTCATCCTTTTTATTAACCATTGTTTTGTAGTGATTAGAGTTTAAAAATCAGTCATTTACCCACCATATTACCAATAAATGAACTCCTCTTAGTAAAGGTTTTTATATACTTCTAAATGCAAAACAGAGATTTTTCACAGTCAGTCAATGCCCTGCATATTATCTATGCTGAATAAGCTGTCGATCAATTGCAAGAAGTGCAGGAAAAGGGTTCTGTATGCCAAAAGAACCTATCAGAAAGAGAAGACATGATCCCTACGTAGCTCATACCGATAATTAACCGAGCCACGTATGATTGTGTAGGATACATTCCATCCGTTACGTGTTAGAAGTCAAAGTTGTGTGTTCCATTTTCGTAAGGTGTATGAATTTTTGCAGTCAAAATTTCGAATTCCTAACTGGAAGCTCTCCAAAAACGATGTCGTTTCTTTCAGGGTTATGTCGCCATAGCTGATCATGCGTTGACAGATTCCAATGGTCGTCACACTACCTGCTTTATCATGCCTCTGGACCGTTCAGCAATTCCAAGCATGGATGCACTCAAGGAAGCGATCAGTGAGAGCGATTACGAAGTGAGTGGACAATATATCTTTCCACTTCTGTTTAGCAAACACGAGGTGCTATTCCACTTTCCCACTCACGTAAAAGGTGACGTTTCGGCAGATTTCGCCTTCCTCAGAGCCTGGAAAGGTCAAGTTGATAGCAACCTATTCGGCCAAACACCTTCATAACCAAACAGAGAAAACGCTAAACCAATATTTCAATCACACTTAGCATAGCACTACACACTCACCGCTTTCTATGAGTCTTCCACTGAGTATGTCGCATGAAGACCGACCGCATAGAATTCACATGGAAGCGTAATGTAAAGCTTTCCCATCAGAATAACAGGTTTATATACCGTCCAATATCACGCGTGATAACGAGGCATTTCTCCCTGCGGTTCATTTTCGGATTCTTGGAATTTATCCAGAATGCCTCTAGAGTTTTGCGCGCTTGTGTTCTCGATTCTTGCGCGAGGGTCGTAACCCTTACTTCAAAATCTTCTCCGTTATGTTTCTGCGTGCTATGCGTACCTAGTGGAGTACTTGGCTTACGTTTGCCGACTAGGTGTTCTTTTATACGTACGCAGAGGGGTCTACCCGTTTCGCCAACGTATTCGTCCCCGCACGCTTTACAAGAGATCAGATAGACTGTACCCGAACTCATGCAGTCACCGTCTCTACCATTGGGGCATATTATGCAATTTTGCACATAGACGGTCGTACAGGCGGTTTCGAACTAGCTGGCGCCTTAGATTACTCGGTGGTATTTCGATTATCGCTAAAGAATTCTCTAGACTGGCCCTTCTTAAACAGCGTTTTATAGTTGCACTTACTTCATTTGAAATGAAGGGCAGTATAAACGGGACCTTGTTGTCGCTAGAGTTATCGTTAGGGTATCTGTGGTTTCCTCTATACCTATCTCGAGCTACGGTTTCGTAGCCATTAAAAATGGCTATTTGCCACGCCAAGAACTTGACCCTTCCAGACTCTGAGGAAGGCGAAATCCGCCGAAACGTCAGCTTGTGCGTAAATAAAGAAATAAAATAGCACCTCGTGTTTGCTGAACAGAAGTAGAAAGATGTATTCAATCAATGCCAAGGTTAATAGAAAGTCGGACTTGTGAGTGGGCAATATTTCTAACCGCTGTAAAAGAAGCATCTTTGTACTGGAAAAAGCGCGAATTGTTGCGACTCTTGAGATCATAAATGAGATGCTCAGCTGATTGTTGTGGAATTCAAGCCGTAGAAAAGCGTGCTGCGTTGATAAATCAATCCCTTAGGGATGAGCCATGAGCCATCCACTCGATTAAGCATCGCAGTGATTAATTGCGTATTTGACGTATAAAATGAGATGAATGACAATGTCTATCAAGTCAATCCTTTTATCTTCCCAGACAATTCTCGTACAACTTTGCCGACCGTAGCATTGGAAAGGGATTGGTAAGCTTGAGGCGCGGACTCGAACCGGTGGATCAATGCTTATTGCAGAGCACTCACGCACAACTAGTATGCTGAGCTTATTTCCTGGCAAAAAAGTTGCTTAATATTGCGGCAGTCTCATTGAGAATATTAGTTTTCACTAGGATAGATGTGGGTCAAAAGTGTTTTGTGGGTTTCCTGTTGGTGCTCTAAATACCATAAACGCTAGGTCTTTGATAGGTTATTTTCAGTACATACATATTTTTCTAACCAGATCCACCATACTCAGCAAGCGCGATTTATCAAGAAGTTACTAGACTGAGTGAAATAGCTAAACAAGTGCAATTAATCAAGTCAACACCGGTGGCGGCAAGTTTCAGATCCAAGCTCATTTCGGATGGCAGGAATTCTGGCAGTTCGACGCCGAACCAATTGAACCGGTTGCGGCGAATTCGAAATTTGCGGATAGGATTGCCGACTGCGTTGGAGTTAAATGGTACTACCTGAAGCAGACCGTACACAGCCGTGGTCTGTGAGATTCTGTGGTTGTAATAAATTAATATATAGATATCATCTTATCCTTCTCTTTTCTTCCACTTCAAATGAAAGGCTTACAACAACCATACACTAACACAAATCACGTTCTCTTAATCCTTAAAATTCTGAAAATTACTTCAGATGGGATATAAATAACTAATATTACTTTATAAAATAGCCCTGATCTAATAAAAAAAGATAAAGCCGACGGCATTGACCAATCCCTGAGGGATGTGGATGTCCCACTCATTCGACTTCATTATCCATCGTAAAAGGTGATTGAATGCATATCTGGCCTTTACTCGCGATGGCTTACCGATGCATCGATTCTGTGCTGCTATCTTCCCAGACAAGTCTAGTATTGATTTGCCAACTCCGGAGGGATGGAAGGCTTGGTGAGCCTGGGGCGCGAGATCGATCCCATGTGTACTGCAGACCGCCTCTAACCACTGCGCTACATGCGCCCTCTTGGTGTAATACATCATAAAAGAGTAATATTGAAAAAAAAACAATAAAACCACCAGTTTATCTTTCTTCAATTTTTTATTTTTCCCATCTATTTTTCGTTTTCGTTGCATTACAGTGAGACATATGACAATATAGCATTCTGTATTCAATTACTTCCGTTCTCTTTCACACATTTCCTACCGACTAGTCCGTGTCCACGTTCTTATCAAATCGTTTGCATACAGTCGAACTGTTCGTAAACTTGGTACCTCTGGTAAAACGGAGCTAGAACGAACATGAACTGAGTCACCGCTGAACTGAAGCACCGAATGTCAAGCTGTTGCTTTGTAGACGCTGCCTGCTCCGACTGCTACGACTTTTGCTTACCAGATTGGGCGGTAGTACGAAAAGAGAAGTACGAGGATCAGAGCACGATTGGAGTACGACGTCTTGATTGCTTCCGTCTTTACGTGCCTGAATGGAAGAACTTTAGGTATGTCATACGCCCTTCGTCATAACCTTCTTTGTTTGACGGAAACGTCTTATGAGTTTAGAAACTCAGTGGATTGAGTTTTATTTAACCTAAACAACGGCATGGAAACTCTATTTCCTGGTATGGTTCTCCTAAATCTCTAACCTGTAAACTATCACGACGATTTATTGCTCTTTAATAGGACGTTCCATCTTTTTTAATATATCAAAAGCATACCCAAGGGTCTTGAGAACTATGTTTCTTCAAGAGCTCAGAGTCAGCTTCACCCATTTCAAGAAAGAATGATCCAGAACTGTACATCATTTTGAGAAAATGTGAAGTAAAATATGAAACGTATAGGGCATGACATGTAGGCTGGTGTCTTTGTTTTAGCAATCATTACCTAGTTTTTGTTTGGGGCTTCTATTCCTTATGTCACCTACTGTTTTCTATCAGCATTCATCCACTTGGATAAAGGTCTAGATCCGATGATGCACGATGCACTTAGTAATTGCAGAGTGGAGACGGACGCTAGCGGTGGTCATTGGCAGTATCCGTTAGCCAGTCAAAGCACAAAGAGGGATAAGAGTGGCAATTGGGTGTCTTGGGTGCCAACCGGGAACTCAGTGCAGAGTCGTAGACGACGATAGATGATGGTGAAAACACCGACCTCGATCCTTGACCCTCTTTGTCAAAATTTTCTGCTACCATACATTTTTCCAGTGCAGTTCTTCTCATTTCACCTCAAAAATATAATTATCAACTAGAATTAGAATTTTGATGCAAAGTTTTATTTTACCAGCTGAATTTCTTCCCGTTCGTACTTTGGTTTATGTTGTGCCTTTTCAGTCATGTAATGAGTCCTGATGACAAGCGTTTTTCGATTTTCCATATCTCTACTCACTTTCTTGACCTCTCTGAAGATGATCATTTTGCTCATTCTTCGTTACCTGCCGAAGTTACCGTGTCCACTTCTGCCAGTGTACGGCCAAACGCCTTCGGCAACATGTCAATCCGTTTTGTAAATATACATTCTGAAAGTGTGCTTTATTTTTACACAGCCTTTCACATTTATCTTATATGCTTTCAGTGATGTGTCTTTGTGAATCAGGCATCATCATAGATAAACATTTTCTAATAGATCTTGTGAATTGCAATCAGCAGTTTTTCAGATTTCAATTAGCTAAGTAGCTCTGTTTGTTAATTCGTGTGGTAGTTGCCACTTTTCCATCGGCCACGCAACACTTATTGTGAGTGCCACAGCTTGTAATCTCAAACGTAGGTAATTATACCATTTATATCAGTAACCCTCCTAACGGTTTACCGCCTCATCGTGGCTGGCAGGTGTTCCTGGGTGTCAGACTGCGATATGCAGCAGGGGATTCATCTCCCGGCAGGGTCTCCCAAGCTGAGAAGGGGTCTGGCATTTCCTTCAGGAAGACCATAAGAGGATCAATACCAGAATCCACCACCGTCCTGGTATCAAACTATTCGAATGGTGGCAAACCTCTCTTTGATCCACAAGAGCGGTGACTGCTTTTGGTGGTGACGATTTGGTGCACACTTTGCCCAGGCTGACCTCGGGCCTTCAGAGACCCACAATGGCTAAACCAACAAAACTCGGAAAAAATGGAATTTATGCTGCGGCGCGCACAATGAGTGAGGACGGGCCTTCGAACTATCTAAGTATAACAATAACAGTACAACAGTAATAATACAAGTAATACAACAATAACGATATGGCGACATGAAGAAACATAAACATTTCGAGCTTTCAGACAACAAGAAAACGAACAAGCAAAGACGGATCAGTGAGCGAGAAGGCCAGTGTGAATGAGGCCTTTTTCTTTTACTTTGCTTAGCTTTTTTGATACTCACGTAGCTTGCTGAGTTCTGAACGCGGGGGCCGGATATACTCACAGGTAGATTGCTAGTGTCTCCTAAAGTGGACATGGAGCTCATTTGTTGGAGGCGACTCCTAACGTCTACCTATATACTTCTCTATCACTTAATTATAGGCTTTTGGCTGAACTGACACGCAGGATACAACTCGCATAAATAAGAACATACGCACGCACTTATGCATGAACACACCTTCGTAAATACAGAGAGCATCTGCAAAAACGGTGCAGCAGAAACAGAGAGTCCATCTCCTGAACCCATTTGTGTCTCAGGAAAGCAAAGGTCGCTTTTGGTTTGCGATGCGACTTATCCGCCATCTGGGGACGCTCCACGTAACCTCGCAACGAACCGGCTCGAGATCCCTCATATGAGGGAGATCCGCGGGTCGGTGTGTTAGCCGAATGAAACATCTTGCCGACCTCGCATTAGTTTAATCATCCAAGAAAATATAAGAATAGATCTTTGATTGTGGAGATAGTAGTGTTTCTACCTAGCTGATTAGTCAGCATATTAAACGACATAAAAAGAAATTCAGCAACGTGCCCTCGTGTCTTGAAGATCGCTCAGCTAACAAACCCAGAACTCAAAACACCGAATTTTTATAAACGTTGCCATTAATAATTAGTAAATGTAATTCTTACGAACTGGCCATGTTGATACGAAGTTGGTACCTGTTACCATTGCCATGGTGGGTGACGTTTCACCAATTTCGCCTTCTTCAGAGCCTGGGCATATTTCATGTAACTCTCTTCATATAAAACTAGCTGAAAGAAAGGCGAAACGAAGTACTGGCACGGTGTGGTGGTGGACACGTTAACCCAAGAAATAGGTAGCAGGGATTCCATCTCCACAGCAGACACCTGAGATCCGGAATTTTACAAGTACCCGGTCGTAAAAAATTGTAGTAGGCAGTAGACGAAAAAGTTAATGCTGTTCGTATAATCTTAATCGTTTCATTTACTACTTACTCTTTTTAATGGCAGGGCATATTGAGAAATATAACTTCCATGTCCGGCTTTCTATTAACCTCGGCATTGATTGAATAATTCTTTCTACTTCTGTTCAGCAAACACGAGGTGCTATTTTATTTCTTTATTTAAGTACAAGCTGACGTTTCGGCGGATTTCGCCTTCCTCAGAGCCGCTTTCTATGAGTCTTCCACTGAGTATATCGTGTGAAGACCGACCGCATAGAATTCACATGGAAGCGTAATGTCATTCCCTACGCAATAGGGAGCGGTCACGAAAGCGGCTCTGAGGAAGGCGAAATCCGCCGAAACGTCAGCTTGTACGTAAATAAAGAAATAAAATAGCACCTCGTGTTTGCTGAGAATTATAACTTCAATGATGCTGAGATATTTGCAAAACTCCGGACCGCAGGTGTCTGCTGTAGGGAACGAACACTCTATTAGCTTTTTCGGCGGCTAACGCGTTCACCGCCACACCTTGCGCGTCCTTCGTCTTGCCTTTCGTAGTTGGCAGGTGATTGCTTATGGTACTGATAGGTAGAAAAACTAGTCGAGAGAAAGACGAAACGAAGGACGCGCGTGGTGTGGTGGTGAGCGTGTTAGCCGCCGAAAAAGCTAATAGAGTATGAAATGCTGAGATATTTGCAAAACTTCGGACCACAGGTGTATGCAGTGGGGAACGAACACGCGCCGTTGTCCTTACCGGGGAGCAGCGCACTTCACCACTACACCATCCGAGTCCTTGGCTTTGCATGTCTCTCAGCTAATAGAGTGTTTGTTCCCTACCGCAGACACCTGCGGTCCGGAGTTTTGCAAATATCTCAGCATCATTGTGGTTGTTTCACACATAATCATCCTGCCGTGAAAAATTGTAATAGGCAGTAAATAAAATGTTAACATGAAGATACTACATATCGTCAGCGAGGAAGAATATGCTAGAGCGGAAATCAGACAGGATGTTGCTATGGACCAATATACCAATGGCGGACCTTATATACGGCTTACGAACAGGCGGAGGATACGGCATTTTCGAAACTATACGTCGTTAAGGTATACAGAATATAGATAGAGTGCAACAATCGAGAAGAGGAGGTTACAAGGATGCCACGCAGATGCGTGGATCGTACACACCCTAGCCCTGGATGGGAAAGTGAAGTGTATTACGAAATGGATACCTAGCGGTTGAAGAGACTTTACCGCATAAGTTAATTTCGTAATACAATATACGTGAATAGTTGAGTACGGAAGTGCAGAGAACAACAATAATGACATATCCACTAGCCGCAGAATAAAGAACAATGCAATTTCAAATATGGACTGTATGAATAGGTGACTCAGTAAATCGAAAACTGTTCGCCACTGACTTTCTCTACATGAGCGATAATATTGGCCATAGGTTGCTGCGAAAAGGTGGTTATTGGCTGAGTGTGTTGACAAGAAATTCAAGCGGACATCTGTAAACTCCGTTCGCCGCCAACAAATAGAACCACTGACTGGGCTCCGCTCTCTGAAACAAAACGAGCAGCTTCGCTCAGTTACTACAGGGTTCTTTATTTTTATTGTCTTCAATGAGGATTTGGCGACAGATAGCACTCTGAGGCGCCGTGTCATGGTTTTTCCTTCAACTGGGCCTCTAGAAGTGAATGTCGAACCTCTTTTCAATTTAGGTGACTTTACTAAGGAAAATCTTTTATCATTGTGGTGATATCACCAAGACAATATTTGGTCGACTCAAAAATAAAGGCTGTTTTCGTTCTTGCGAGTATTTCTTATTCTAAGCTACCCGATTTCACATTTACTTCAAGCCTGGTTCTGGTACTTCTCGCATTCTCTTCGTTTCCTTGCACACAGCATTTACGAAGGTGGTCGAGCTTTTCGCGCGTGTGTTCGACCATTCCTTGAGGATTGTTGTCTTGCTTAAGAATTTTGTTGAATGACGCTCGAGCCGACTCTTCATGCAGTCCTGAGATAGCCGAACTGAGCTGTTCCCAGTTCAAAATGCACATGGTCAACCATTCAGAGACAAGTCAGGTAGCAAATTCCCGTACCCGGATGGATGGGAAGTCTGGTGAGCCTGGGATGAGATCAAACTAGTATCTTGTTCACGAAGAACAGCATTGCTTCCACTGTGCTACCCGTCGTTATGCGGATATTACAGATGCATTTCTTAATAAATACCTGTCGCTTACACTGTCACTATGACCGTTTTCGAACTCATTTGATCTTAAATAACTTTTCGCGCACTACTTTTTCCACACACGATTTACAGTAGTCTCAGACTGCTTTAAATGATGCGGTTAAGAGAAGAAAGGCACATCTTTTTGCTATATGAATTCAAGACTAGACATACTTCAACAGAGGAAGACTCGAAATGCGATGAGCTCTTGGGACCAGGAAACCGTTTCAGTACACGTAGTGTACAGATGGTTTCAAAACGTGCAGCAGATATAAATCTTGGTGAACGTGGGTTCCTATCAACGGTTAATGAAAACCAACTGAAGACCATAGTCATAATTTGATTCTCTGAAAACTACTCCAAATGGTGTAGGAAAACTCAACATTGGTCAACCATTAACTGTTTGCTATACAAAAGGCATTTGCAGGATGAAGAAGTTTGTCGAACTGATGCCATGTGGTTTCAAGGTACAGCGAAGACATCGTTGCTATGAAGTCTACTCTAAGTTTCTTTGTTCAGCAGAAACAACCGCATTCTTGAGCGCATTTGAAAATTCTATACGATAGCCCACGAAGTCCAGCCTTGTCAGTGCGGAAAATATTTAC